TGGTGAAAATCTAACCCTGTGATGGCATCCGTTGAATCAAATCCATCCGGTCGATCCGTTAAAGTACATTTAAATTGTCTCAAACCATGCGTCTCCGAGTCTCTATCTACCTAACTTGTCGCTCTCTCGACAATCTCCTCCCCATCCACCTTCTTGCCTGAAGAGGCTCCACTATACCTGGCTGCAAAACGAAGCCAAAAAACTCAGTTGTTAACGCACACTTCCCGCCTCACTCAGAGCGACTACAGCACCGCGCTTATCGCAACTGGCAGTGACAACTATGACATAAGCATTCCTTGCTTACAACCTGGTACCTGAGTACTTCGCGAACATCTCTTTAGCACATCCATGTGAGTCTTCAAGGTCGATACCATACGGCTTTAGTGTTCATACAGTTTTAATCCGCGTTTTTGTACACCAAAGCTTTTATAGGGACCATTTTTTATAACTCAAGTTTCTGACGTCGGGTTGTCACTCGGTATCTAGCTCCTCCCACCCCCCTACCTCTTCGTGAACTTGCCGCGAACGCCTTGATGGAACACAATAACGCCGATAAGCAGGCCGTCTGACAGTGTTTGCTACATTAAGTCCCAGTGCTTGTTTCCAACAAGCGACCATTTACATGTTACAATACAACAGTGATTTAGTGAATCAGTCTGTCATGCTCACGAAGATACCTGACTCGCCGGTATAGCACGCCGCAACTCATGCGTTACACGGCGGATGTTCCGATCCGCTAGCAAACTGTCAAGTTGCGATAACCCACCCGGTATAGAGCATATGTTTTCTAGCTCTTATCATCCTCCGGCCTCTGTGAATAAACGGGGTAACATCTTTAGGAAATTTCTGTTGATTGAATATCCTGAACTTCCACAGCTTTTTAAACTTTAATATACGATGCACGTCTTTTCGAAAATTCCACCCCATCTGTTTTCCGTATAACACACTGGGTAAGGCGCGGACGTACACGTAGCCGTAAAAGCCATTTGGAGGATTTATTGCAATTAATGCATGCTAATCCTAAATCTTCTCTTCTGGTGAATGTTTGCCCTAAAAATTCGGCTGCAGCAGACTTGTTTAATGGTCATTCATGATGTGCGTCAGTAAACATTGTTTGGCGTCATATTCAAATACATGTGCAACAGTCGAAAGGTTTTATTTCCAGTAGTCCAATCTCGGCGTGTACAAAGTTACGAGAAGTGGCTTCGGGCTAAGTAAGTCCATGCGAGTCACATTTTAAAATCATTTTTGCCTTTGTCGAAATAAATTCTTAACTTAGGTCACTTTAACTGCTTCCGGCTTAACGGTTACTCCTAAGGATGTACACTGCTGTGCAGCCATCAATAAACGGGTACATTTGTATACGAATTTTTGTTCTCTTGTAGAATCAGCGTATGCAGCGGACGCTACAACTTGCAGGGTAAATATGAAAATTTGGCCAACTTCCGTACTAGGGCACTTGGGTGTGTTCATCCTATCAGGAGCCCAGCTGTACTGACTCCGGAGGGTGACCAAGGTAAATTATCCTTTCCTTGTCATCTTATTCGCCAAAAAGTCAAGTGGTACTTTGTTCTAGATTTTGAATCAACTTGTGATAATAAGTCTACAGTGAAAGCCGAAATAAGTTAGCATCCCTTCAAATGACTTACTTTGCGAAGTTGAGTTTCCTGTGGTTTTAGTTGAAGCAGAAACGGGCACGATAGTAGACGAATTCCATTCCTATGTCCGACCAACTGAGAATCAGACGTTGAGCAAATTTTGCACGAGCTTGACGGGCATATCGCAAGTATGTTTGTGCTAATTATCGTTCTATGGTATCCTAGGAGACCGTCGACAACGCTGAGGAATTGAAAACCGTTTTAAAAGATTTCGAATTTTGGCTTCGCTCGAAGAAGCGTGCGCTCAACTGCACTTTTAAACTGGGTTCCCCGAATGCCGCTGTTTTTGTAACTTGGACAGGTGGGTTGTGCGCAGAGGATTGACCGACATGCTTCCTTTAGACTGGGACATTCGGACATGTCTATGGAATGAATGCCAGCGCAAAAGACTGCCATTACCTCTCGAACTTCTAAATCGCATTGACCTGAAGGCAGTTTTCAAGGTACACCCTCAGACCGTTCGTTTCTCCTAATTCAAATACTGACGGAAACATCTGCATATAGTCAAGAGTAGCCCTCTCCTGCGTCTGAGGAAACAACTGCCCTCTCGACTTGGTGCCCCAGCTACACAACCCCCATTTTCGAAACTTAACGCTTGCATACCTGTCCCACCAAAAGCCATGGGTACCAGCACCTTGTATTGCTCACCATCAGCGTTGATTTAGCCTGGTTTTAGTCCGCAGAAACAAGAACAGTTTCGATCCATGTCTCGCGCAGACCACAGATCTGCAGTCTCAAAAGTCAATATCATCTTTTGGTTGCCTGTCACTGTCATGATAGTCTTCGTCAAAAAGAATATAGCCCCGGTCGCCTGGCTATCGCTTCTGTTTCTTACCAGGCGATTTAGTGGAAATTGACAACAATATGATCAAAAGATGCTTACTTACATCCAGCTGTAATAATATCATTGAAGGGCATGCAGACCAGGCTTTTTCAATTTATGGGATAAGAAAGATGAGGGAACAGACCCGAAAGATGTCGAGCGTGGGAAATACCTTCACCAAACGCTAAAAGAAATGAAGTAATGCACTCGCTTATTAGTTGGTCTAGGTAAAATTCCTGACCCAGTTGATTGGCAGCAACGGTCTAATAGCCGTCGCGCCATAGCGCTCCCAATACTCCAGGGCAACCAAGAAAATGTGAATTGCAACTTTTTGTTGGTCGCTGTCGACAGGAGCCACTGACCTCGGGTTCAAATCCTAGCTCCTGTTTTGGGGTGCAACGGAAAACCAGAAACAGCAATCAAAATTTCTTTTATTTGTCAGTAGCACCTTTTAATCTATTTCGTAGCTAGATTTCCCTAACTTTCGGTAGGATATCAGCATTTATGAAGTCGACCACAATTTCCGCGTCATACATCCAATCGGAAATGCTCTTGAGCTGAGGCACTGCCAGCATAAACATTCGGTGTATTTTCATCACGTTTTCCTTTTTTACAGCACTGGTTGGCTAACACCAGCCGATCCCCACAGGCAGATTGGCATGGGAACTTTTCGGATGCACTGAAGGCTGCTGGACTTACTTTCAAGGGACGACCCCACAGTGGAATCGATGATGCGCGAAACACGGCATTGCTGCTGCTCAAAATGCTTTCTAGTCGGGGAACAGAGCATGCCAAATCTCCCTCGCACGCCTACTCGTGAAATTTCAAGAAAAACACGAAAACGGATTGGATTACACTTCTCCTAATGCAGTATTTTGCATATTTTTGAATGCCTTGTAAAAATATATAAAGTGTGCCCTTAAAACTAGTCTTCCAGTATTCTTAATATTTATAATACTTAGACTGCCTCAAAATGAAGGCAATATTATATACAATTTGTTAAGCCTTTTGCTCGAAGTTCTGATACAAAATCATTTCAGGGCACTATTGTTCAATACTCCTACAACGGCCGAATTGAGTGTCCTTGATCAATACTGTGCTTTCGAACATCAGAAGTTTGGAGAACTTAGCTTCCATCATTTACGAGAGGTCACACTTTCACAGCTGTGGATTACTACTTTATTGGATCTAAAGAAAACATAGTTGTAGCAAAGAAAACATATTGAACACCTCAAAAAAAATGATGGGGTTTCGCTCGTACATTCGATTTGAAAGACCAGAGAAGAGCAGTCGTGACACACAGCACGCAAATTTCACTGGGTCCCAAGACGTAGTTTATTAGTCCCGAGTGTTCAGTTCTTCTTCTCCTCCTCCTTCTGGATAATTTTTTTACGCCTTTCCCGCCAGTATTCCTGCTGAAGTTTGTCCGTGTAAGTAGCAGATTTGTAGAGGGCGAAGAAGCTTCCTATCACCAGGAGCGATCTAAAGTCCAGTGAATTTTCAAAAAGCAAATCCTACGAGTAAATGAATGCCTTAGCTATACCCGATAATCCTTTGCGCGGCGGCATACTGTTCTATAAAGGACAAGACAAGTATTTCAAGTACAGACATCCGAAATATAAGCAGAAGGTGGAATTGGGACAGAAATCACAGAGCAGGGCTGATTAAGCCGAGGTTTGTATTGTGGTCTAAAGAAGCTAGACTAATATGTGGAAACATGGCTTCCACGGGTTTTTAATGACAAAGAAAATCATATTTCGGTAAAGCAATTCGCCAGTCTAGCTGAAGCTTGCATATGCAAGGTATGTTTATTCTGCCTCACTCCATATGAACAAAGGCAGAAAAAACACCTTGAGGAAATTTTGAAGGTTTGGCAAAGCCATGTAAGAACCTACCTGGTTATGGATCATTAGGCCAAAAATGTCTTTTTCCGAAATTAATTTACATGCGCTGATCGACTCCTACTTTCACGTCTAATTAAGCGGCTGGCTCAAAAGACGGAAAAAACAAGAACTGATCGAAGAATCAAAAATTGCTGCTGCCTAACATAAAAATAGTGTGGCTTCGACCCCAGAAATTTAAAAAAGCAGGGTTGTTCGTCAAGACACATTTCCCTAGGGTATAAGAAATTCCTGGATTGGTCGTGTTTCAATTATTCTCTAAGTGCGCCGGTCGTGAGTATATAAATTCAAGGCTAGTTTATTGGAATGCTTTTACGTAAACTACCGTCGTGCAATTAATTTAGTGCACGCCGGAGGGACTGCGTCCCTACGTGAACATGTCCCATGCTGACAAGCTCTAGTCTAGCTGGCAATAAATGTTTATTATGTTAGTGTGTCGTAATAATGTAAAAACTCGTTCTCGTGGTGATGAGTAAATATTCGCGAAAGCAACCTAGAGAACAACGAACATATGTGTGAAAGGTAATGTTCAACTGAACGCCAGACGATAAGAGTCTGTATTCGACTTCTATGCTATTCAAGCTCTAGATTGAGCATGGCTAACGATCAACGTTAATCGTTATTAGTTGCACGGCTGTACAGAAATACACATTCGGTGCTCTCGCGCAGCAGTCTACACATGAAAAGAACTGAGGCAGCAGAGGATTAAGCAGGGGTCAAAAACTGCTGATCATTCTCTCGTAAGTACAGACCTATAACAGCAGCAGTTCTAAGACTGGAGCTACTAACTTCGAGGCATTGATTTATATTAGATACGATCATTCCTGCCGGAGAATCAGCGAGCAGGAGCAGCAGCTTTCCTCAAATTCCAACTTTAGATAACTTGTAGGTTAGGCGTATTTGTGGAATGCCGTCGAACGCCTTCTGGAAATCAATGTAGATGATGAAAACCCTACTTTCTTCGTAAAAAGTGCGAGACCATTACTCGGGCAAGAATAATGACTGTAAAATAGTGCAGAAAAATAGTACCGGATGACCACTCCCATTACAAAATCAAGCGCGGAACAACCGCATAGAATGTCGAGGCAATTATTTATGTTTAGTTACGCAAAATAATGATCTCGATGTATGTTGGCAATAGTGCGCAAAACCACTCGATGGAGACTGTGACCACCCGCTCTGCTAAACAAAAACCAGAACACGTTGAATCAAAAGATTACAGCCGAAGGACCAAATGATTGACATATAGAACTGTAGCGCGTGTCAACCCATTTGCTTATTCGGATACGTTTGTCATCAGTTTTTCCATTAAAAGCTACCTTATGAACTGACGGTTGACGCCCTACAAATTAACATTGCCAACAAACATTTTAACTGTATAATTCATGTTGTTGACGAAATCGTTAATGCAGACCTCTTGACTGACTGACTGACTATAATAGCAGCAGCTCTAAGCCTAGGCCTTGGAGAACACCATTTAAAAGATGGTAACGCCTAAC